GATTTTCTTCTTAATCTTTAGAGGTAAAGTAAATAGACATTATTCTCATAATATATTTTATCTATAAAAAATATATATATATATATCAGTTCAAATTTTTTAAAAATTTAGAATTTTAATTTTAATTTAGATTGTTCTATTTAATTAAAATTTAATTTAAAATTTAAAATTTTATGTTATTAAATATTAATATTTAGATTTAAAAATTAATTGTATTTTTTAATTTTGAATTGAGATTTTAATTTTTAAATATAAATTGAGATTTTAATTTTTTTTAAAATCTAAATTGATACATATTAATTTTTTTATATTTTTTAAAAAATATAAAAATATAAAAATTAAAAGATAAAATAGCAATGAGTGTTGTAAAAGGAAATCGAAGCCACAGCCAAAATTTTCAACGGCAACTTCTTTAAAAGGGCTGTGGAAGAAGGGCCTACAAATTTGTCTTCCATCAAGCACCGGAAATGCAGAACCAAAAGGGGCATGTCCTTTTAGTCACATACCCTGCCCAAGGCCACATAAATCCTCTCCTCCAGTTTGCAAAACGCTTGGCCTCCAAGGGACTCAAGGCCACTCTAGCCACCACCCATTACACTGTCGAGTCCATCCAGGCCACCAATGTTACCGTGGAACCCATCTCCGATGGCTTTGACGGTGGCGGGTTCAAGCTTGCTCCCAGTGTAGAAGCCTACTTGGAGTCTTTCAGAACAGTTGGGTCAAGAACTTTGGCAGAACTGATAGTGAAGTACAGGGACACAAGCACACCTGTTTGTTGTATTGTCTATGACTCATTACTGCCTTGGGCTTTTGATGTTGCTAGGAACTTTGGGATCTATGGAGCTCTGATGTTGACAAACTCTGCTTCTGTGTGCTCCATGTATTGGCAGATCCATCAAGGGCTCCTGACTTTGCCTGTCAAACAAGAATTCTTGCCGCTCTCGTTGCCTGGTTTGCCTTTACTGAACTATTCTGAATTGCCAAGCTTCCTTGCTCAGCCTGCAACTCACTCTGCTTATTTAGCGGTGATCATGGAGAAATTTGGCTGTTTGGATACAAATGACTGGGTCTTATGCAACTCCTTTGAAGAGCTCGAGAGTGAGGTAACCTAGATTCTCCTGTTTTCATAGCTTTTGTACTGTAGATATCTATGGATAACTCAGAATCATGCTTGTTATCAATTTAATGGTTTAAATCAACAAGTTTTCTTATGTTGTGTTCATTGATTTGCTGGTGAAAAGCTACTTGAGACACTGCGGGGAGCCATGCCACTGGAGATGGTTGGCCCCATAGTGCCATCAGCCTACTTAGATAACCAGATTGAAGGAGATACAACTTATGGAGCTACCCTATGGGAGCCAAGTGGTGAGAGGTGCTTGAAATGGCTAGACACAAAACCGTTGAAATCAGTGGTATATGTATCATTTGGAAGCATGGCAAGCATCAAAACTAAACAAGCAGAAGAAATAGCATGGGGCTTGAAAGAAAGCAATTTACCTTTCTTATGGGTTGCAAAGGAGTCTGAAGAAAAACTGCCGGTTGAGTTTCTCAGCTCCATTGGAGAAGCAGGGTTAATTGTGACATGGTGTAACCAACTAGAGGTGTTAGCTCACCCGGGTATCGGCTGCTTCATTACACACTGTGGATGGAACTCAACCTTAGAGGGGTTGAGCTTAGGTGTGCCAATGGTGGGGGTGCCTCAGTGGAGTGACCAACCTACTAATGCTAAGTTTATTGAAGATGTGTGGAAGGTGGGAGTGAGGGCTAAGAAGGATGAAGAAGGGATTGTGACAAGGGATGAAGTGGCGAGATGTATAAGGGAGGTCATGGTCGGAGAAAGAAGTGAAGAGATTAAGAAGAGTGCATCCAAGTGGAGAGACCTGGCCAAGGGAGCTGTGAGTACTGGGGGAAGCTCAGATAGAAACATTGATGAATTTATAGGGAAATTGATGAAGAAAGAGCAGAATAAAGCATAATTGTATCACTTTTTAAGTAAGAGGGAGTGTACTCGTTTCCTGATGATCTCTAACTATGGAATAATCCTCATAAACGAAAGAGAACAATGTATCATCAATTCATCATGTGTGTTATTTTATCAGCTGATACTGTCTAAGGATTCAAGTAATTTTAGGTGTATGAAACTTTAAATTTTGCGCTCTTCCTCGCTTATATATATCTTGCATTGACATTATAAAAAGACTAGGAAGCATGTTCCTTTTGGAAGTGATTATCATCAATAGATAACAAAGACACAATGCTTTCTGATGTGCGATTAGTCTTTTTGTGTATCTGCTCCTCCAAGATCCGTGCCTACAGGGTGATGGTATATGTGGAAGCAGCATCGTAGAGCTTTACCAGAAAATATCAAGAAACTTCACATCTTACAAGTGTTGCTGTCATTACATCCTTCACCCTGTAATGTGTAAACACATGGAAACCAAACAGAAACATCTGAGCGTAGCTGAGGATGTGCAGGTGCAAGTAAACTGAATTCAAAAGCCATATTCAAGCAAACTGCACGATATTTGTCTTATGATCTCATCATTTTAACATGGAATAAACTACAAACACAATCTACAGTCTCCCACTTATCTTGTATAGAGCAGCATGAGAAAAAGAACCATAGACTTGTAGAGAGAGAATCCATTAATAGCATGACATGAAGTTTATGCTAAAGGTTTATTTTGGTGTATGACACTAATTATATCGTTAGCAAGATATTGCTTCATACGTGATGTTTAATGCAAGTAGTAGAGGTTTAGCTTTGCCGAAAATCATGATTCCAGGAAGAAGATAACATAGAATTGTGTTAAATTCGGATAGGCTTATGACAAAGAAAAACTGTTACTAGTATAAGATGATGCAATCACCATTTCTTAGTACCTCTGCTCAACCCTTATTAAGGACAAGGAAATAATGCAGTTACCATATGCCTACCTTGTTCTTTCTTCGCGCCTCCAAAACCTCTTCTAAAGGTGGTCGACCTGAAAGCAGAATGGCAATTAACATGAGCACAAATCTTTGAAAACATATCAGAGCTATCATGAGATCTCCAAATTATGTCACAGGAAAGCAGTTGAATGGTTCAGTCTGCTGAAGAATACCAAGGAAAGGGTTAAACAGCAATAACTTCCAATTTCAAAAGTTTCATTTCAAAAGGTAATTTTAAGTCCAGATCAAAACAATCGTGTGACTATCAAACCTCATGTATCTTGGAAACAGAAGGCAAGTAGTCAGACAATTACTCATCACCATGGAAGATAAGAAGAAAAGAAGTAGGAAATCATGATACCTGTAATCTGAAGACGATATTTAGCCCAAACACCATATACTGCATCAGTTATTGTTGCAATCTGTAAAATCAGTTATAGGAATCAACAACATTGATGTGGGTAACAATATTTCTTCCAGAGCTACAAGTTCCTAAAAATGTAGCTAATCAACAGAACTAACAGAAACATAATGGAGCATAACCGAGTAAGAGAACTTACAGGTTCATATTTGGTAATGGCATAAACCCATCCAAGACCAACTTGCTCATACAACCTCCTAAATGCCTGAAAGTAACCATAAAATAAAATAGTGTTTTATATAACATCCTTCTGTCTGATAAACAACACCAATCAAAGAGGGGAAGAGCAGAAAGCAAATGGGAACAGCTTCAACCTATGACATCTTAATATCAGAGTTAGGATGTTCTTTTGCTTTAACAATTAACAGCAATTACTCTCAAGTCAAATAACCTATGCATCAACATCTTGCAGTAGAGTATAGAATAGTTAAGAAAATAAGGAAGAAAGCAAACCTCTACATCTGTCACTACAGTTCCATCTGACATGATTGCATGAATTCTTCCCATAACCTATACAACAAACAGAAGTTCATCAATTTTTATACTCTCAAGATGGCTAGGAAGAGTAATTATCAGAGTTGTCATCCATCTATGAACATATACCTAAATCGTGAACATACCGTTTTGTAGTCAAGTCCTTGATTTTCCTCAGGGGAATAATCATCAGAACTTATGTCAACAAACTTGATAGTACCATATTGCTTATTCCTCTGCCTTAACATATTGACCTGACAATAGGAAAAACATTAAACACCCAGCAAACTCAATAAGCATTTCTTCATAAAAATTTTCACAAACAGATGCAGGAGGTAAAAATGCAGGGTTTAACGGGGTCCCAGGCCAACGTAGACCTCACCTCACGCATGCAAAGCGGGCAATCTCCATCATAAAGCATTTTAATCTTCCAATTTTCAGGTGATTGTTCATCATCATCCTTTCCTTTCTTGGGTGCTATAGGATGTGCGGTTGCCTCCTGTATAGCCCTGACCTGATAATTCCACCCTGCAAAGAAATTTTATCCCATCTAACAACAAATCAAACTCCCACAATTCTCTTACACCGCTTATCACAAGAATCATGTAAATGGGTGCATAACTAAGATTTCAAACACCAATAAAACCTATATTTCTCTTAACAATACACAAAAATCCATCAAACCCAGAAAAGAAAAATGTAAACCAGAGCTAAACACCAAATTGTCACTTGCAAAATCACAATCCCACGAAATTGTAAAAGATGAAACGAAGTTCTTACCAATTTTTTGGTTAGGAAATGGAGTGAATATTTGCAGAGAATGTGGAGGAAAGGGATGAAATTGAAATCCTTTTTGAGCAAAACATTGAGGTAATGATAGAAGAGATTGAGGGATTCTTTGTCTTCCAACAAAAGCACTTGCTGCTCCTCTCATTGCCATTTTGTTTCAAGAAATTTCCCAACTTTTCAATCCTCACTTCAACCCAAAAAACTGCTACCTAGCTTCAGTTAATAACTAACGGACACGTGGCGACCTCGTATTCACCCGTATAAAGAACACGTGGCTAATATTGGTTCTTAAGAAAGAAATTTTTTAGTTTGTAACTTTAATTAAATGTGAATGGTGTATTTATTGTCAATTTTTAACCATTAAGTATAAAATAAAAGTTAGTTAAGTATTATCAAATATAAAATTAAATTATTTTACATAATATTAATATTAAAAATAAAATTTATTTTTATAATTGTTTATATTAATTAATTTTAAAAAATATAATAAATATATCTTATTGCATTGTTAAATATCTTATTGAGAAAAGTAATTATAATATAAAATAAAAAATTATTAGATGTGGAAAGTTCAACATTAAAATTGACTATCATTCTTAAATATTATATAATTTAATATAATTTAAATAATATAATATTTTTAAACTATTTTTAAAAAAATAAAGTTTTTATAAAATAATTAAATTACACTATATTACACAACGTATTCATCGAATAAAATAATTCTAGGCTCCAAAGTCCAAATGGGTATGAATCATGATATGAAAAGCATCAGGGGTACCCATGAAAATATAAAAAATATTAGGGGTACCCCTAAAAAATAGTGTAATTAGTTTTCCTACTTGAGGAGGGTTAACAAATTCCAGTCTACTGCTGTTCTTCTTCTTCGGCAATCTGATCTGTGGAGGATCTGATATATTTCACCGGAAAATGGCCTTTTTACTGAACAACACCAGCCTCGCTGCTCACTTCCGATCTCATTCCCAGGTGCCGATTGTTTATATAATATGGGAAATCGTAAAGTTTTGATCTTTATTGGGTTGTCTTTGATTTGTCAACGGTTCTAACTCCATTTCTCTCACTGTAAAATTGAATCACCGGAAAAAGCAGCAGACCGGCGGTGCGCTGTCTCTTTCGCGTCGAGGGTTACATGTCGAACCAGGGCCTCGCGAGAAAGCTGTGAGTCTTCCCTTTTTGCTTCTCTATTCAATTTGTTTCTGGATGAATATGTATATTTATTTCTTGTAGGGTTTTGATTGCCCCTTTGAATTTCCGTTGCTTATGATCCTTTCTTTTGCTTTGATTGGATAAAGATTATGATTTCAGTATTTGGGTTTGTCAATAGTTCTGCAATTTATTCTTTTTGAGGTGTTAAGCCCATGTTTATACATGAACTGAATAGTAGACGGGTGCCTATTCTAAAGGGTATTAAAAAGTTAAACACTTTCCTTTCCCTAACACTATTCCTAATTTACTTCACCTTAAGCAATTCTGGGTTTTTACTTTTTGTTTCTTTTTCAACATTTGAGGCCGTGAATCCGGATTTCTTTACCAATCCTTTGAAAATTTTACAATTATTTTTTCTGTTCTTTGGGGATATTTGGTAACTAGTCATCGTGTTAAGTGCATCCAAATAATGCTTGTTAGCTTGTGCTATGCTTAATGCTATCTTGAAATTGGAGGCTGTGCAGCTCTTGGCTGCTGATCCAGCTCTAAGCCGATTCAAATCACATAAGAAGGGAGTGAAGACAATTAAAAGAATTGGAGATATTCTCACAATTGTTGTTGTAGCAGGTATGCTAGTGTCTTTTCTGTATGTTCAATGAATTGGTTCATTAGTTTAATTATGGTTGCTAGCGTTATGAAAATGTTTGCAATGCAAATGGCTTTCTAAGAAGTTTGAGTATATCTCTCTATGACACTTGGTTGATATGCTTTATTGGTTTTTATACATCACATATATATGTGATGAGTTGTAGCATAGAAACATTTGGACTTCAATGCATTGTAATCTGTGGGACACCTACTGAAATTCCGTTTATGCAGTGTGCTTTTTATTGTGTCAGATTGTGGGGTTTCATACAACTTGGTACAACTTTATGGACATTCGATTGCATTTTTATTATCATCTAATAAAAATGGATCCTCTAAGCTGTGACTTGTATCCTGCATGCAAAAGTTTATCATGTGTGTTTCTCACATCTAATTTTCACAATAAACTTCAAGTGTCGCATTTTTTATCAAAGAAAATGGAGAGAATTTCGGGAGAAGAAGATGAAGAGCAGAGCATCAACTAAAATGGAGAGAAGTATATGACTTCAACTCCATTTTTTCTCATTCCTTTTACTCCTATTTATAGGATAATACAAACTCAATTTAAAATTCAAAAATCAAACAACTATTTTACATTAAAAAACAACAATAAAATACATTTGAAATTTGAAATATGTAACAGCCATTTCTGTCACATTGCTGCGTCCTTTGGCAGCTCTGCAGCATGCTTGGTCCTTGGCAGCTCTGCAGCCTTTCATTTCAGATGCATTTGCATGTCATCTGCTGTTCATTTCAGCTTCCTTTCATCAACATTCTGCAGCTTAGCTTGCTGCACTTTGCTGCTACCGTGCTGTGCGGCTCTCCCTTCTTCATTTGCTGCCATTTTTTTGCAGCCTTCCTTCTTCATTTGCTGCCATTTTGTGCAGCCTTTCATCTTCATTGCTGCCATTTTGTGCAGCTCTCATTTTCATTTGCTGCTACTTTTGCTGTTTGAACACCACAGCTCCAACATCAAGAATCAGAAGTTGCAGATGATCATTTTACAGGACCTTACTGAAAATGATTGATAGACTGCTGCTTAAGTACAAGTTTTAATTTGGTATTCTGATGTATGTTTGTTTCAGGTTGTTGCTATGAGATATATGTCAGAGCAACAATGCGAGAAGAAGCTCGAGAACAGGCTGGGGCTGCAAGTGGAACTCATTAAGAAAATGAATGTATTTGCATTTCTCTTCCTTAGCTTGGATGATGTTGACCCTTTATGTTTTCTTCAATGTTAAATAAGCAAAACATATACTTTGTTTTGAAAGACAAGAACTGCAGCTCTGCTAATCACCATCAGGTTCTCATCTTTGGAAATATCTTTTCACTAAAATTTCTACATCAATTTCAATTGTTGTACTTTCTTTTTTCTTATCTATCATATAGAGATGTCAAACTAGTGACTCGTTACAATGGATCGATTATTGGAATGACAAAGATAATCTATGATGATCTGGGTACATATCTTTTTCCTTCAGATTTGTTTGTTGATGTTGATGGACCTTTGTTTTTGTGCATGATTGTTGCATGTGAATAAGATAAAATAGAGGGGTATGACTATGACAATATAACCACCTCTCTTAGATATTGGTTATTTCCAACTTATTCCTATTTATGAGAAGAAAATAGATGACAAGCATAGAATAGCTATGCTTTCTTTGTTTCTTCTCCCTCTATTTTACCTCATTTTCATGAACTAGTCATAAAATTGTTATGTAACCAGTTTTTAATTGTTAGATTATTCTTAGTATAACAAAATGAAGTTGATAATTGATAGATTTTATTGTTATTTATTTATTTTTATTTTTATTTTTATTTTTATTTTTTGCAACCATAGATGTTCTTGTTTGCTTGCACAATGATTACAGGGGTAAGATAAAATCACTGTCATTTTCTTGGCCCTGAAGGATATAAAAGGAAAAGTGGAAATGTGATTGGGTTTACAGCATAGAAGACATGCTCATTAAGAACTTTATGATTGTGCAGCTCCAAAAGAGAGAAAAGAATAAAGATTTGGCCAATGTGAGTGGGGGCTTAAATGCAGTACATTGCAATTTGGCTTCTTTTCAAAATTACTATTTTAAGGGGACTTTTAAATAATTTGAAAAGCCTAGAAAAGAGGACAAAGGGACTAATTTTTGAAATAATATTGTCTTTTGCTACAAAAAGTAAAAGGAAAAGAAATGCTGTTTTTGAATTTTGGGATTGAGTTGTTGGATGGACACATGCACTCTGATCTGTCTGGCCTCTCACTTAAAAATTATATAATGCCAAAAAACCAGAAACTCCATAAAAAGGAAAAGAATCACACTTCATAGTGACTCACCGGACATAAATTCAATTCTTTTTCTTTCATGACACTGGAGTTTTTCAATCCAGGCCAAAAACAAATTTGGGATTAACATGTCAGTAATATCCACAACGGTTGAACTTTGTCACCAAAATTTATTCTATTAAGCATGTTATTAACATTTTAGTCTGTGTATAGTCTGAACTGATGTTAGTCAACGATTAAATGATTTAATGATAATTTTTTTTTAAAATTTTTTGTATTTTAGTTTAAACTATATATTAAAAATATGAAAAAGAGAAAATTAGGAGGTCATGATCACAATCATTAAATATGTAAAGTATAATATGAAGTTTAATTTTATCAAATTTATCATGTGATTATTATTAAATGTTTTGATTTTTCTTTTCCTCTAAAAAATATAGTCTCAATATTAAAATTATTAAGTTATCCTTAGTCAATAAACATTAAAAAAATTTATTAAAAACATCTTAATAATTTCAATAATTAAACTAAACTTTTAATATACAATTTAACCTAAAAAATATTTTTTTATCTCTTTTTTAAGTAGAGTTAAAAATTATGGATTTAACTAACGACTTATTAGTATGTATGGAAAAAATTTAGTCTCTCTTAAATAAAGTCTTAATTTTGAGTTTTGTAAATAAAAAAAATGAGTACTGAGAGAATATTCTTATTGTGGAATCTGATACAGCTTAATTTTAGATTAATTAAATTTAATATAATTAATTAAATTTAATGTAATGAATGGATATCAAGGAGTGATAAAAAAAATTATGGATTCAAATAATATGCATGCAATTTTAAGTACGTTACACACGCCATGAGAGCGAGTGACAGGAAGGCTTCCCTATTTCAAAAGAAGCAGCGCGATAGATGTCCGAATCTGCATTGTAATTTCACCCAAATCCAGTCTGAAGGAAATGGGTTAGTGACACCTGTTCAATTCAGGGATACAACGGTAACTTAACAACAATCAAACCAACACAAAATTACCAAACTACCCCAAACATGAACAGCTAGCGTCCGTTGTTGCACCAAAAGTCTACGTGGCCCCGGCCGCTCCTCCAACACTCAACTGACCTACTCCACTCCCTCTGAGCTGTATTTAGTAGACGTAGGAATTTTGAAAATTTTGTTTACAGATTCCTGAAAACCCACTTGCTAGCAACAACAAAGTTTCTAAATTTTGGAGTGGTTTTTGTGGGTTTGGAAGATCTGAGGCAGGGAAAGGGGAAAGATGGCAACTTTTGGAGGGACTACCCAGAAGTGCAAGGCTTGTGAGAAGACTGTGTACTTGGTTGATCAGCTTGCTGCTGATAATAAAGTGTATCACAAAGCCTGTTTCAGATGCCACCATTGCAAGGGCACCCTCAAGGTATTCAAAGACTCTATTAACCTCAAACTTGTTGGTGTTAAGTTGATCATGTCTGGTGAGGTCAATTTTGGATTGGTATGTTATAAATTTATGATTATGAAGTTAATTTGATGATGACCCCTTTTTGAAAATTTGAAGTTTTTGTATGATTTTAATTGGAATTGTATAATCTTTCGATGGGATTCTTCCGTTTTTGGGCTTTAATATTTTGTTGATAATATGCCACTTTCATTGGCTAGGAACTTGTTAATGGATCATCAACTTATGAATGTTGATGTTCTTTGTTCTTCGTTTTCAGTGGCTTTCATCGTTTTATTTAAACTAAGATCTGATTCATTTCCTGAGGGAAAACAGCCATAGTTTAAAATTAGCTTCTGGTGCTTGTCGTGTCTTGTGAGTGAATTAGAAGCTGTCTGAAAGGCTGTCAATTTGGCTTCAAGATTGGATCAATTTCCTGGGAAAACATGTTGCTTCATTGGTTTACGGAGGAGTATGAGAATTGTTTCTCGGGATATAGAACATTTGCTTATTGTTTACAAGGAATTCTCATCAGAAAGAAAATGAGACCATTTATTATGTGCTATACGTTAATTGCTGAAAATCATTTGGGGTTAAGGACAGAAACTAACTCTATTAGTTTTTTGGCAACCCAGAAGAAAAATAGGGAGCAATCTCTTGTTATTTATGTGATAGGAGTTAGGTTAGAAGTTAAAAGGAAGAATAGAAATGGATGGTGTTTATTATGGAAAAATAAAGAACGTTGGCAGAATATCCCCAGCTAGTAGCATGTCTAAGCTAAAGTGTCATATAAGTTAGAGAGTTAAAGTTAACTATGCATGTGATAAGAATGATCCAGCATTATGCATATTCTGATAGAACTTATCAGAGAACAAAAACTACCAGAAATTTTTGTTACAGACACTGTTGCTTCAGAGTGGATGGTGGTAATGCAAAAGTACTACTAATATGTGAACTGTTGGACATTTATGTTTGAATCATTGTATCTCATTCTCAGTCTTACATAAGAACTGATTTGTGCTTTCTAGGGAGTCAACTGTAATCTATAATGGAGAGTATGCTCTGCAGACTACCTTTAGGATTTTCATGTATCCCTTACTGTTTTCAATTACAAAAGAAAACACCAAGAACCATTCCTTCTCTTTTGTTGTCTGCTTGTCCTTATGCCTGATAAGTTGTCACCCAATGTATCTTTGTTTCTCATCCTTTTCATGTAAATATGCAGCTAAGTAACTACTGCTCCTTTGAGGGTGTTTTATATTGCAAGCCGCACTTTGATCAACTATTTAAGATGACTGGCAGCTTGGATAAAAGTTTTGAAGGTGGCTGGCTATTACTAAGTTCATTTCAAGAGTGTTTACTTATCCTGCTGTTTGTTGCTTGTTCAAGACTATTTATGGTTTCTTTTCTTGGATTTTCTGTGATATAGGAGCTCCAAAAACTGTTAGAGTGGAGAGATCAGCAGACCAGGTACTATATTTTGTTAATCCTCAGCATTTTTTTTCCATGATCTCCATACATATATTATGTTGAGGACTTGATTAAGTATTTCATACCTGATCTATGGCCAAAAATAAAAGTTACTTGAGCATTGAAGCCTACTAGTTTCTTATTGAGAGTTAATTGTGCTGATTTTGCAGGTGACCAACAGCAGAGTTTCAAGCATGTTTGCTGGAACACAAGACAAATGTGTTGCTTGTAAGAAAACTGTTTATCCTATTGAAAAGGTAACATTAGCAATTTAATATAACCATCTGCATGCTTTACAAGATGAAGTAAATTATTTTCTTCTTATCATACTTGTAGTTGTTTTCCGTTTTTCCTAAATTAAGGAGTTTGGTTTGTCCCTCAAGAATGGATCTTGAAAACATTTTTTAGAAATGAATTTGGAAACAAAGAGAAGTCATTATCATAGTTAATTGCAACAAGTTAAAAGATTTACAGGCAGATGAAATGATAGACAATTGAAGTGTATCTACGAACGTTAAAACCAGAAACAATGGATTAGTAGCCTGCTTGCCATTTCTTAGCTAAATCTTTTTGAAATTGACATATATTCATCATTGTTACTCCTTTTACTTGTTTCTAAATCCAAGATCAGCACTTGGATTCATTCCCTCATACTCAATTCCAGAGTGTAAAATTTGTACATGAAGAAGTCCCCTTGATATATCTATCAAATGCATCCTGTCTTTGATGTTCAAATTTTCCAGTTGTTCTAAACACAAATGTCCTCTATTCTTAGGTGCAAGTAGATGGTATGCCTTATCACAAGGCTTGTTTCAGGTGCAGCCATGGAGGCTGTGTGATTAGCCTATCAAACTATGTAGCCCATGAACAACGTCTCTACTGCAGGCATCACCACAACCAACTCTTCAAAGAGAAGGGTAACTTTAGCCAACTTGACAAGCATGAAGATGTCAACGGGGTGACTGAGAACACTGTGGCCTAGAGATACTGTTAACTGGATACATGTCATCATTAGAGACAGTTTGCAAGCAAAGCTCGATGGAACTTTTGAAGAATGCAGTGAGAGGTGTCAACCAGTTAACATTCTGCCTGGTATAAATGTAATATGTTATTGCACAGAAATATTCGGCAGAGATTTCAGTTTGTTGCTGAAGTTTTGTGTGAGATTGTTAATGAATATCAGTTTGAGATGTCTTTCTCAATAAACTATGTTGATTTTAAACATAATCCTGTTTGGCATTTCATTTGAAGCCAGAATTGATTTCTCTTTTTGTGATTTGAAGAGTCTCGGTTCATTATTTCTGGTGTCTTGTTCTTCTCAAGTTATTTTTTTTTTGGTTTTCTGCCCCGTATCCGAGACTTCGCCCCAATTAATCCGGACTGATCGCGTCGCTTACTTAGAAATGGTGGGCGAATCTCCTAACGAAAGCTGCTACATACACAAGATCTCAAACTTAAAATCTTGCTTAAACTGAAACAAATTCGCTTACCACCTGATCCAACCCCTTATTGGTGTTCTTCTCAAGTTATGCTGCTCAGTGTTTCTTGGACAACTCAGGAGTCAGAAATTATTCTTTTTTACACACTTTTGAAGAAGGAACCTTTGCTCCAGGGGTAGTTGCCCATTGTGTCAGTACTTTGAATGCAAGCAAATACAAGTAGCATGAGGTCACTTTCTCCGTCAGATTGCTCTGAAAATTACTGGTGGCAAAAGTCTTTCAGGAAGTAGAATATAGTGATTAATGCAATAACGAAAAGCAAGTAATTCATACTCTTTGGACTAAGAAATTTGAGCTAACCATACAAACAGGAGCCATACATTGCATTTCTTCATTTAAATCTGTAATTCTCAAGCATTTAATTGAGAGCAGCATCCTCTGACATGAAATTATGACGCAGAAAGATCAAGACCCCAAATTCATTTCTACAAAAGTCATTCATCTGGACGCAGTATTCAATTGATTTTTTTCCCAGAGACAAAACTTTATATGAAGCTATAAATTTAGGACTCATTTCTCCAAAAATCGTTCATCTGGATGCGATATTATTTTTCCACAGGGACAAAACTTTATATGGTAAGATAGTTGGTGTGTGATGGTCCCTAGAAAAAGGAATTCTGTTTGTTTTTACGGAAATATATATATTTTTTAAACAAATTCATAAGAGATGAAATTCAAACCGTTATTTTAAAGACGAAAAATGCAGTTATGCGTGGTTTAACGTCACTGGTCCGAAGACCCAAGTACTTTTACGAAAATATTTTTAATGCGCAATACAATTATAATTAATATTTCTCATACTTATGAAATATTCTAACTGCTCTTTTTTTTTTTTTACATAATAAAAAGCAACCTTCCTTTATTTCTTTACGAAACTCACTCCTTTTATCTGTTTATTAACCTCACTAACGTGCCTATGACTTAAACTGAAAATTTTTTATTTTTTGAAAGAAGAGTATTATTGAATTATTTTAAATTTTGGCATGATCTAACTGCAAGTTCGTTGCATTTGTAATACTCAAAAGCTTCTATTAAGTAGGAAGATATTTTCTTCTTTTTTCTTCCCTTCTGAACTTGTTAAAGGCAAGAACAGAGCATCTTTTGCTTTTGGAGCTCTGTTCTGTCTTCCTCTTCAACATTGGCAGGGAGATACATTGTGCATGTAAGCTAATAATGGGAGGAAAAAGATTCTTCCTCATCTTTTAATGGGCTAAAAATTATTAGCTTGATGGCTGTTTCAAAGTCAAAAATGTCCTAACCTAATCATTAATGGGGATTTCTTGAACTGCCCCACCTACTAATTCTTCCCCCAACCTTGTAAATGCCGATAAAGAAGGTTTTATTCTAATTCATATCTATGTTTTTGGACCACAGCAAACTTACCTCATTTTTGAAGTTGTTCCAAGTTCTAAGACTAAGAACAAAAACAAATCAGATCATATCATCTGGCTCATTAATCTATGAAGTAAGAAGAAAAACACTGATTTACATTACACAACAATGCTTGATTACAATTTATGTTGGATATTTCAGAACCCTTCTTTAATATGCAAATCTGAGTTTTTCAGATCTGGGTTTGAGGAAAGTTTTTTTTTCTTTTCTTTTCTTTTCCTGGTTTAACTATGCTACCTGAGAAACTGTGTTGCCTACAGGCTTAACGAGCCTGGATTTGTGTCGTTATTGCTAAACATGAAACATCATCAGGTTCCACTTCCAGCTTCTGAGATGCTCTGTAATGAAGGCTGCCATGCCTTCGATCTTGCAGCAACTGGGTTGGATGATGATGATGTTGATGTTGCTGTTGCTGTTGTTGTTGTTCTTGGTCTGTGTCTTTCATGTCTGCTCACCTGCAAATGTTTCATGTTTCTTCAGAAAAACAGATACCCAAAGAAAGCTCCAGCAATTCCTTGAATCATTTCAAATATGTTCTTTTGCTTTTCTAATTGAAGGAAAAACAGAGTCTTTGATTGCAAACAAAGATTTACAAGATCAATGGAATAGGAAAATGAAATTCACCTTACTCTCCTTCTCTGGTTCAGATCTTTCAGTTTCTTTCTCAGGCTTTCCTGTAGATTCTTGCTGGTTATTCTTCATCTTTGCATGTCTCCTCGCTTTCAATCCTTTCATGACCTCTAAAATCCAATTAAAAAAAAAAAAAAAACACAAACCAGATCAGAATAATCAAACACAATCTTTCTTCTCCACCGAGGAAAAACAACAAACAGTTACCGTACATAAAGTGAAGCAAATGTTGGGAAACACATACCTTGAGCGGTGACGAGTCTATAGACCTGACCAAGAACAAGGGTATCCGTCGGCCGGAGAAGCTTGATCTTCGTAAACCGAACAGGGTTGACCTTTTGGACGGAGGGGTTATCTGCGGCGGCGGAATGGTGGTAGAAGGTGGTAGATATGAGAAGGGCAACGTAGTGACCGGGGTTGGTCTTCATAACCTCTCCGGCGGTAAGCGGACAGTAAAATTTGTCGACTCTGCCACTGGGGTGCTGAATCACAAGGGTGGCGGCATCAATGGCCTGGCAATTCCCCATTGAACTGTTGAATTTTTTCTCTGTTTTTCCAGAAATCCGGAGGAGCAGAGTTGAGAGATAAATGAGCAAGGAAAGAAACAAGGGAGATGATGTTTGCAATAGTGTCTTTATAGCCTCACCGCTGTCCGACTTTGCCTTAATGTGTAAATAAATATAATTTTTTAAGAAAATTATCTACACACAGTCGGTTTGACGGATTCTTTAATATCAGTTACAAATTTAACGTAAAAACAATTGATTTAGTTGGTTTCGATTTTTTACGTATATAATTAAATTTTAAATTTATTTATTTTTAATTTTTAATTAAAAATAATAATTTTATAATAAATATATTATATAATATATTCAATTAAAATATAGATGAATTATTATATTTTTTTATTCTATCTTCCCCAATAAATTATAATTATTGTTTTACAAAAAAATAATACTACAAGAATCACGTAATACGAAAAGTCAAAATTGTCTATTAACATCAAAGTCATCTATTATGTAACCCTCGTGTGGATTTCAACGTAAGAATCATATGATAAATAATTTTAAGTTTTAACATTGTCAAAATTACCAAATAATCTTGACTTTCTACAACCCTTAATAACAATCTCATACAAAAGTATTAAAAAAGCACTTTTTTCTCCCAAAAGCCCATTCATAAAAAAAGTTTTTTTTTTGCTATTGTAAGAAGTCATGATAATTAATTATTGGTAATATTATAATTATAATATCATGATACGTGATATTAAATAAATATAATATGATATTATATATATATATAGTAATACAAATAAATTTTTACATAAAAAAATTATTTATATAACAATATGTTGCATTATAAAATATAAATATAATATGATATTTTATATATATATAATAATACAAATAAATTTTTACATAAAAAAATTATTTATATAACAATATGTTGCATTATAAAATTATAATTAATATGACATAATATTATAACTTTAACACTTTTAATTAATCATTGTAAAATTTTGGAAAGTCTCAATTACAGCTTACAATTCGAGGAGCTACAATGGTAATATTTCCTCAAAGTGAGTTTATGTAGCGTCATCCTATATAATTGTATAACTATTTACATGAAGTAGAGTAGCTAATAATATAGTGGTTATCTTTTTTTTTTTTCTTTTTTCCTTTTTAACAAGGTTACAGGGAGTTTTTGAAAATAAAAAGAATTTAAACTCAAATCTAATGAGAAACATTACATAAGAAATAATTACTTATTTTATTTAAAGTTTATCGATTCTTTCTTTCTTTCTTTAATAGTTATAAAATTTTCAATTTGCATAAACAATAGATCCAATAAAATTATGAAGCCTGAGAACTATGAAACGTTGGGATCTAAAGTCAACCAGTCATTGGCACTATAAGACGAACCTCATTGGAAATTTGGAACCCATATTGCACCTCCATCACCAAATCCTCATTGTCATCAGGAGGGACCAGACCCAATTAAGCAGTAAGAAGACAAAAATACGCACAAGGAAGGGGCCTCTTATACAATACAGAATAACATGTGTGGTGGCAAGACAATGATTATTGGAGAGGGGAGTAGGCAATGGGGGAGAGAAAGAGAGGAGGGAAGCAGCAAGATGGAAATCAGTCTGGACCAGCAAACAAAATACTTCCAGTCTAAGTCGTTATTATTTACTTATTTACCTTCCAAAGAAATGATTTTCATAAAAGGATAATCAAGTCATGTTTTTAGTTTAAATTAAAATTTCTTAAAATACCACTAATGAAATATAAAAGTAAATAAGTTCATTCAAGCTTAGTTGAAACTTAATTGAGTTTAGAAAGTCTCCTAAGTGAGAGATTGAGTAAACTTTTGCCTAGACAGGCAATTTCTTCACCCGTATGGATTGATTTTCCATTTCCTCCAAATAAAAATGCTTTACCTCAACTTTTCAAGAAAAAATATAATAATCAAATGCCCCTTTATTCTTTATT